TCCTTATATGGTCTTGAACTTGCAATTGTGCATCACACGTTCACAAAAGGATTCGATTCACGACGTTCGCGTTTATTCACTGCACGCATCGTAACACTAATAATCACCGCACGCTTTAAAAATTCGTAACATCTTGCAAATTGTTATTGAACGGAAGCGCATTCCGTTCGATTATCACTCTCGTGGTCCGTACACCAGATTTAATTGTAATAAAGGGCGAGAAGGTTTATAGTTTAGAGACGTGGTCGCATGATAATTGGCCCGGCTGGCAGCCACCGTTTCTTTGATAACAGGTTTCGGTGTTCCAGTATCGCGCATGCGTTCGTCCTTTCGCGTCTCCACCAGAGAAGAGGTCGTAAAGATAATGCCCACATGCCAGCAAACAGACGAGAATGGTAAATTTACCCGGCCAACTCGTGCCTCCATCTCTCTGTGAGCCATCCCACCGATTAATTCGTCTCGTTTAATCCGTTCCTGCGTTTGATTGAACTGGCATCATAGGGGTCGACGCACCCCCCGAACAATATTTCCCCTCCTTACCGCCCCTGTAGTTTAGCTTTGGTCCTTTGATCAATCCGGTTTGTGTAATCTCGTTTATTTGTCAAGTTTTACGCGCATTCAATTTCTGCTTCCAATTATCTTATCTACTACCTCTCGTTTCGGCTTTCTCTCTCGCAGAGGGAAGCTGCGGCTCCGTTAAACCGTTCTCCGTTTATCGCGATTATATCTGTTTCAAACGATTGCCGATCGCTGTCGTTTTGCTCCGGTTTGTTTTACAGCAAAACATCCGAGTTAAATTCATAGAATTTTTCTTTTGCCTCGGTCGATTTCCTTCATAATGAAATTCAGAAACGCTGGAGTTAACACTCCGGAATCCGACTAGACGTAAATTAGCGGGTAGGCGAGTAAAACGGTGCGTTTAATCTGCCATAAATCAAACGATCCGCGACTCGGTCGGAGCAATTAGCTGCTTATTAACGACGTTGGTTTATCAGCTTACTGGTTGAAAAGCAAACCGATTACTACTAGTCTTGCCTCGCACTTTTCTTAAATCAAATGAAATTCATTTATCTCTAGAGAACTCCAATTAAGTTATTCGCTTCGTCAAACGATTCCAGGTTTAATTAAATCCCTTATTATACAATTTCTCGTATCTTTCATTCGACGATTGTCGCCGAACGCTCGCTCCAGTTTCGTTTTCTCGATGAATGGAACTACTTTCTTGATTCTTGAGAGATGAACTCCGGATGGATTGGCCAAGTTTTAAGCGACGGTTTCCTCGTTCCAAATATCCGTGCTTTTACGGTCCATAAAGGGACGAGAGCTGCTTTTAGTGGCTATTACACGAATCCCCGGGTCGGCGCAACATTTATGGCTCGCGCACCGTGTGCGGCGGTCGTTAAAACACATTTCGTGGCCCATGCGAGAACGCCTGGACGCGAGTTCTGTTTACGTCCACGATTAGCTGAACGATATTTTCACCATCTCCCATCGTTCGAACGATTCCTCTTGGCTCGGTGTATAAAATTTAGAGTATTTCCGTTTGACAACACAGGCAAATTGGAGACAAAACGAGACGTGAAATTTAGTCGAATCATGATTGGCAGTAGACTATCTAATTATACAATGATTTCTTTTACAATTTCTTCTTGTATACATACAGGGAACACTCTTAGTTTTATAGCTGACCGTGGGGCATGCGTTAACAAACATACAACAGATTTTCTACCTTCTTTTACTGTCTCTTCTCAGACCTGGGTAGTTTGTTTAATGGAAACCTCTTGAAAGATGTACAAGGTTTGTTAATATTCAGCCGCGTTATCCTTTTTTCAGTCGAATTTTACAGCCCCACCCAGAGGTTCCGGTTGTAACATGGGATTAGGGGATGCAATATAAACGTAGGAATGGAAAGAACGTGACACTGGGAATTTTCAGAACTGACTGAAACGATGCGATAATATTAAAAGAGATACAAATGTCTTTGGCATTTACGTTTTATCGATCTAATGGATCGAAGAATGTAATGAAACGTGAAAACGAAGGAGAGCGATACAGTTCTTTACGCACAATGGGCTATTAATCAACGAACAGCTGGCCAGGTTCGATCAGATCGTATCCGCGTGCCGCCGATAGAAACGTATAATTACAATTTGTAAAGCACACAACGTGACTCATATAGAACGAATTTCCATCGCGATATCGATCTAATTACCCCTGGATCTCATTCAAATACGTAGTAGCATGGCTGACCGTGCGCAAACGACACTGCGAGAAACCTTGCATAATAAAACTGATTATTAAAATCGAAGAAGGAGGGAAATAGTGGATTGTAAAAAATCCCTCTTGATATCTGTGTCGCCAGATATTTAATAATAACTAAGAGAATTAGTGTGCAAGGGATACAAAGGCAGCAAGTTGCATACATTAGTTGCTGCTAATAGACCGTGAACCCGTCGCAGCTTTTATTGTACCGTAAATCAATCGGCCGCGAATGCAGATATAATGTCTCGTTGCGCAATACGATATCATATTTCATGTAATGGTACCTATCATGTACTATAATTGTAGGCTTATTTTACGATCGACACACGCCACCAGAGATACGTATAACCACGGTATGTTTCGCTAACTCCGCGAATAATTATTACCAGCTTCAATAAAGAGATCACCCATACGTTATCCGTGAACTATCGGTAGACAGACGCCAGTCAATAATAATAATAATAATAATAATAATAATAATAATAATAATAATAATAATAATAATAATGTGAATAGACAGGAAATCGTTCGCTGGGAAGTGATTGGAAATGAAGTCTCTTCGAGATTTCTATGTATACTCAAAAGTACCATTTAATTCATTGACAATATATTTATCAATCCAGTAAAAAGTCAGTTGTGTTCACGTGGCAGAGGCACGATCCCAATCTTCTTTCCATCCTCGTCTTCGTGCAGCGTGACACCCATTTCGCGCAGCAGAACGTTCTCAACGATGCCGATCCTACTGCAATTGCGCACGATCTCCTGATTCGCCTGGTTACCCTCGCATAAATTCCTTAGCGCGAGTATCGTCCATTGCATTATAACTGCGACACAGTCAAGTTGAACACGCGCATTAATTAGTCCGCGTGGAATCACGATCGCCGGATGGACACGTTAAACGAGTTTCGTTTCGCCCGTTTCGGGTATTACTTACGCGGGTTTCTCGCGTCTATATTGCAGCAATCCAGGAGCAGAGGAATGGCGTTCGTTTCACGGAGCTGAAAAACGTCCAACGTCGTTGAGGAGAAGCTGATTGCGAGGGTCCCGCGCAACACGCTCCCCGCGTGATATCGTGCATAAAATCATCCGACGCGCGTTAAATGATGACGAGCTCGGGGGTATAAACTACACACTTTTCTCGTCTCTATAAAAATAACAACCTGTTGGCCCTGTGTACGGCCACGTTCACAAATGCAATTCCATTATACAAGCCGCGTGTTTCAATTTCATGAGAAAGCTCCATCATTTTTCTGCTATCAATTGAATCCTAACGAGGAAACTGATTAAATAAGAAGTGTTCTATTTATTACGTCGCCTGAACAATTCGAATTTGGTTGCAGGTCGAAATCCTACCGTGCAATTAAGTTACGCAAAAGGTATTACACGGTCGCATCAACGTGGTTAATTTATTTTTATAGCAACAGAGCTGACTCTGATTTATCGCATTCGCCATAAGCGTAGCCATAAAAATATCATTTTTGCTCGAGCTCCACTCTCGCGTTGCAGAGGCTCCAGCTTACGGACTCTCATTCACGAGAAACGAACAGCCATTGAAAATCGTCCGCTTCGTATAATTGAATCGCGTGTCGAAATAGCCATACATTTCATCGACCCGCAGTCTCCAAATCTGTATAGGCTCTTATTCGTTCAGGAGATCCAGATACGATTTAAAAATGTTTTTCTTCGTATGAAGAGAAGATTGTTCGCGCTTCCGAGGGCTCGTGCACGGAATAAAATGATTCGAACGCGGCGTGTCTTCGATCCGGCTAATATATTAACGCGGTATCCGATGCCGACTAAATTGCCGCGTCTTCGACCCGGACAGGATACTTAATTTTCCTTTGTTCGGCGAGCGCCGCGCTCTTTTTCTTTCGTCTCTCGTACGCCGTATCTCGCGCAACGGAGATGAAATCAATAAGAGGCAATAACGATCATTGGAAAGCCTCGGTACGCCTATATAAAAAACCGAGCAACCGACTTCGCGTGTTGGCAATCTCTCCTTTTGTTTTTCTTCATTCTTCGTCTTGTCAGGGAATGATCTATCGCGCGAAATGGTCTTTGCACGGGCGCGGGTGATAAATGAACGATCGATGCAAGTGGGAGCGCGAGGGTTGCCATTGTGCAAATTATTATATGATTGATCGGATAGGAGCGTTCGTTGATCGATATTCCATGCGATTCTTCTGGTTTTCCAAGTATTCACAGTATTGCACATTTAATGTTAACGAAAATACGAAAAGTTCGTGCAAATGAATTGCACTTGATTATTGGTGGAGAGGAAGGAACAATGCATTTATACCTTATTAATATTTTGGAAAGTTTTCAATACATGGATAAATTAAATAGTTAGCCATTTAAGGATGTATTGGCTATACAGTCAATCCCAAAAGTTTATGTACCTTAGAAAAACGCATTTCCTTTAATTAAAAAGAAATCAGACNAAAATTTTGCAGGTAGCTTTTTAATAGTAATAGGAATCTATAATAACAAATTCAAGATGTTAGCATTGTTTAAGTATATACATCCTTAAGGGCTCAATTATTTTATAAATGTCGGTAAAAATTTCTGGAATTATTTCAATTTAAAGGACATTGAAGCGCCATCTGACCGAGAAGCTATCGAACTATTTTTCAAATATGAACGCGACATACTTATATGTATACTGTACATGTCGATTTAGACTGCTTCTTTTATATAAACGGAAATGTAAATGGAAAAATAACTGAAACTGTACTTACAAGATTTTGGCACTCTTCATTCTTGTACGACAGATTTCCTATAACCCTGATCAGGCCAGCTTTGAAGCCAAACACAGGATGACTTTGAATATCGCTCTTCATTTCTTTCCCAACACCGTTTCCTTCCGCCGATTCATTTCTTGCTTCCTGCATTACTACAGCTACATCGCTCAGCTTTTGCAACGGGGTAAAATAATTGTCTGATTGTTTCCCAATCATCTGAATAGATTTCAGCAGATCTGGAAAGGATGTAACATATTAAACATCTTCTGTATACATTAGTTTTCTGAAATTAATGAAAAAATTGTACTTACAAATACAGTTGATGAGTAGATTCTTGTACCCCTTAAGGAAATTGTATCGATCGCAAGATCCTAAAGTTAATGTCCCGATAATATCAAGAAGAATGACTATTTCTCTAGTTTCCACTTCATCTATCATATCTACTGTTTTTAAAATCAAGTCGCTTCTTGCACAAAATCTTTCAATTAAAAATTCCACTGTATTTCTTGGGGACAGATACTCCCCCGAACTTGAAACTTCTTCGTGAAGTATGTTCAATAAACATAATCTATTCGCTATTGTCATATCATCATATGCAGTTGGTAATACATTTGGTCGACACAATAAAAACATTAGAGCCTCCTTTGCGCTTTCAAAACCTTCATTAATTGGCTTCAATAACAATGAACATAAGAGTTTCTCTTCTGTTGCCGTGAAACATTCTCCTTCAAATTCTTTCAAGGCATTGTGAATAAATATACAGGAAGCTTTGACGAGTGGAACGTGCTCAGACTGAGTCAGATTCCTGTAGAAACAACATACATTGATTTACTCCTTGATAAAGAAAAATATAAGATCTAATGAACTGCAAACTTGGATTAATACTTACATTATCACATCTTTTAAATCGCCATCGTATAAACATTGTGGTGCTTTCTGCTGGTCTGGGTACTTGTCATCTTTATATGCAAACGTAAATAGGTTGCACAGGAATTGAATACTCAGTCTTAAAATCTTTAATTTCTCATGCGACACATCAATATCAGTTTTGTAAGATTTTATTAAGTTAACTGCCCATTCAATTATACCCTCATAAGGGAAATGCGTATCAACTGGATACTCTAATTCTTCTAATTTCTCATTATTTGTTAAAGTGGAATACAGTTTATGGCAGTATATCCCTTTCTCAATAACATTGGAATCATATTCTTTATGTATGTAGCCATTGAAACAGGAATTTCCCAAACATTTCAAACAAGCAATTTTTATTTCATCCGGAACATTAGGATTTTCAGTTGTGAGGATCTCTGATACTTTTCCTAGGATTGGGAACGCAAACAACTCCCTGAAATTCAATAAATTGTTACAGTAATTGCTCGAAACGAATTCATTTGCATGCAGGGGAACTTGTATAAAGTATTTATTTTGTTTCGTTTAAGTAACATAAATTTTACCCTGATTCAAGCGTTTTAAACAACTTTGGATCGAGGAGGATTGATAATTCGTTCCAGTTTCCTTGAGCATAAGCGGATTCGAGTTGTGGTACTAAATTTTTATGTTTGTCACTCATCGTAACATTAAATAGTGTTGTTTGTTCCTTAATAATAACTCAAGATGCTTTTACATCATAAATATTGTGGAAAACTTTGCGGAAGATTGCATCTGTTGCATTGCGAAATACTGATCAATACTGAGCTGATCGCTAACACCAACCATTTTAAAGAAAAAGCTGGAGGCAGCACTAGTATGAGGATCACACCAGAGAGAAATAAACTCTCTCTGATCACTCTCTTTTCCTCTCTGATGCCTCTAGTAGGTGCTGCCACCAGTTCATTCTTGGAAAAAGGCAGAACTAAAGTGTGCGCCTGATACTGTAAGATATGCCTTTAGGCAAATGCGAATATTTTGATTTATAGTGTGCGAGTTTTGACAAAATTTTAAAGATACATTTAGAAAGGATCTATGTATTTGTTTGTCACGTTTCATGAAGATATCTCAACGTGTTTCATTAATAGAATAAAAAAAAGTAAGTGGTACAGAGTATCATACGCCACTGTTTGTATCCCCGCCACTGCCATCTGCTCCGAATTCAACTCTCAGTGACTAGCGTTTGTCGCGTTTGTGAGTGCTTTGTGAGTGTGACAGTCGGCTTAAACTTATTATTAAAGAATTTTTGTTCGAACGGTAGAAGTACTTTGAAGGTGAGTACTTGCAATTTGTAAAAAAATAGTTCTAACTGAAATTTTATTACACGATTCTAATTCACGAGCTTGTAAAATAGAGATACGATAGTTCTGCTATGTCATTCAAAGCTAACCTCAGTTCATTTAAACTTCTCTCAGTTATTTCCATTATTATTGAATTAACTTTAAAGTGATACATTCATTATAACTGCAATTGAAACATACCGTTTGCGTGCATATTGTTGTTTGAATGGTATTAAGTAAATTCGTGTATCGAAGTCTATCATCATATTCGTGTATCTCTCAGCACACGAGACCAGCTCTTTTAAAAATATTTTACTTCACTACATAATGCTTTAATAGTATGTTCATCACATTTTCAGATGTTTTTAACACGTTCCGAATACGATCACGGTGTCAATACCTTCTCCCCAGAAGGGAGACTGTTCCAAGTCGAATATGCCATAGAAGCTATTAAACTTGGTTCCACTGCCATTGGAATTGCAACAACAGAAGGTGTAGTTCTAGTTGTGGAGAAACGAATCACTTCCAGCTTAATGGAGCCCACGACTGTTGAAAAAATTGTTGAACTTGATAAGCACATCGGCTGTGCAGCGTCAGGGTTGATAGCTGACTCTAGGACAATGATAGATCGTGCCAGAGTAGAATGCCAAAATCATTGGTTTGTCTACAATGAGAAAATGTCTGTGGAGTCAACGGCACAGGCTGTTTCCAATCTGGCTATACAGTTTGGAGACAGTGACGACGATGGTAGTGCCATGTCGAGACCGTTCGGTGTAGCAATGTTGTTCGCTGGTATTGATGAGAAAGGGCCTCAGTTATATCACATGGATCCTTCCGGCACTTTTGTACAATTTGATGCGAAAGCTATTGGTTCTGGAAGCGAAGGTGCTCAACAAAATCTTCAAGAAGTATATCACAAGGTAACTTGTCGCATTTATATTTTTACGTACGTATTTCTTAATGTTGCTGGTTGTTCTCAAAATCGTTTACATTTTCCGTAGTCTATGACGCTGAAGGAAGCAATAAAAGCGGCTCTGACTATATTGAAACAAGTGATGGAAGAGAAACTGAGTGATAACAATATAGAAATAATGACAATGACACCCGAGAAACAGTTTCACATGTTCCCAAAAGCCGAATTACAAGAGGTGATTAAAGATATCGCTTAAAACTTAAACCATTTAAGACATGTTAATTTTATTGTCGTGAATACATAAATTTATTAAGCAAAACGTGTGCTACGCGAATGTTGTATATCTGCAAATTACACATACATTTTTCACTTAAAGAAAGCGCAATTTTTACACGTCGAGTTTCTTTTCTACGTAATATGTGAACAGATAGAATTTGTCTCAAATCGTGTAATAGATAATTTACCTATTCCTGTTCCCCAATCATTTCTTGTTTAACCTTCTGATTTAGTTAATTGAAACCTTACCATCGTCGAGGGAAGACTCGATAAGGTCAAGATCCAATACGTCTGGTCCGCTTCCATCCCTTCCGTCCGTGTCCATGGATACGTGAAAAAAGAATTTCATCAGAATTTCCTCCTTCAATTCCCTATTCTTCACTGTTTATCCTGAACCAGGTAATGAAATAAAAATGTTTTAAATCCCAGTTATATCCTATCTGTTTTATACTTAAACCGGGTCTGTGTTCATTTGATTTTATCATCTTAATTTAAAATCAATTATATTGCGAACACATACCTTGTTTATGTCTACTAATATTTTTGAAAAATTGCATGCTCATTTTTTGATACATGCAATCGCGAAAAGGAAGAACAAGCAATTTTAAAAGTATTGCGGTGTCAAAGAAGTTGGTGGTTGTGGGTGACATACCAATACGTGAATAGAAGAAATTGAGTGATATTTGGGAAATGTAAAAAAATAACAAATCTTCCTTTGCCCGTTTTATCTGCGGAGCAGTCATCCTTTGAAAGTGTTAAAGCCGCAGTGATGGCGTAACGCGCACGTGGAGCGAATCGTTTTTCGAATTCACGTCGAACGAACTCAGCCCGTTTTCGATTAAAACCTCACCGGGGCTGTGAATGCTTGTATCCGAAATCAATAATTAATTTCGCCGGGTCGGCGCGCCCCGGGGTACGCAGACGCGAAGCGGAGCCCATCCGGAAATGGCTCGGTTACTGCGATGTTCCGATAAAACGTCCCTTTTCATCCCGTTCTCTCGGCAGCTAGATTATTGGATATTATTCCATTTCAAGCGTTCAATCCCGCCACGATTCGCTCGCACGAACTCCCACGAGGATCCGCTGTCCTCCGCTGATTGTACAGAGTCACTTACACGCGCACATGTTTTCTTTTTTGAGACGTACTTTTCGAAAGGAAACCGCGTTTAATAGAAGATGTAACTTTAGATATTTCAAAGTGTTGTTTACAATACCTAGAGAATTGTAGAGATAAAAATCATTGAAGAAAGTATCAGAAAAAATGGAAGATAAGGATCTCTAATAATTCTTATAGTGCAGATTTGATGCATTTATAAGAAACTTATGAATGCTGCATATAACGTATAAAACTGCGTATCAGAAGCTGAATGCAGTTTTCAATATTTATCTCTGCAGTCTATTAATTATAAATTGGCATGGATTCATCTAACAACTCGACGCAATATCTGACTACACGAGGAAGATATTGCACGAGAGATCGATGTCGAAATCGCAAGGAAGCTGGTGACCAAGGAAGGAGAGGGCCAAGGGAAATGGAGTAGAAGGAGAACGGGATCTCCGTAATTAACTGCGATGAGAGGCGGCGTAGTCCCGTTTGAGTCTGCGAATCCCTCGGGACCTGACCCGTCGTATCAGACGCCAAACACTCCGCTCCCACACCGAGTCTCGTCGCCGCTACGTTCAAGTTTCGCTACGATAATTGCCTTCGCTTCACAGTCGCGCCCCGACACCCGCGGCATTGGATAAAAGGGGCTCCACCTCCGCCAGAGGACGGGGAAACTCCGATAATGGCTTTCAGCCTCTGAATTTACGCGATTCAGATCTCCCCGTCACGGAAACTCCTGGGTACTCTCCTCCTCCTTTCATCCTCGCTTTCTGCCATCGAGTTTGGAAAACGTCCTGTTCCAATTTCAGCGACAGTGACAAGACTGACAAGACGCTCCGTCGATTCATTCAAACAATCATCACCGACGACTTCTTTTATTCTTTTATAGAATCTTAAATTCATTAGTTCTTCGTCAATTGTTTTATCAATTTTTTTCTTCTTCCGTAATTATCTGCTTATTTGTCGTTCGAAAGTCCTTGCACTTTCTATCTGAGAACCGTACCTTTTCCCAATATGCTTAAACAAACACCCCATGAAAGATTCATTAGCGGCGCTCGAGACACGCGAACCAATAAAAGAAGAACAAATTTCGCTCGTGTACGTTTCCACGAACGTGGTCACGAGTTAATCCTGTCCAAGTGAGAGCGAGCGAGCCTCGAAGCACTTCCGGTATCACGTGTCGTAATTCGTATTCTTCCGGTAGTCGCAGGACATTTCGTTTTTCCACGAACCTTGTAATTCGATAGATAAAACGGAATTCGCAAATTATACGAACACATAAAATTTGCATTTCGTTATCGTTATTAAACGACGGAGAACAGTTACCCTGTGAAAAATAAAAGAGATCTAAACGGTCTTATCCGATCGTTGAAAGCCACACCGCTTCGCAACGCTTGCTTTCACTGTAATTCAGTCGAGGAATAAGTACGATCTACTCTGCTTCGAATGAAATATGGAATTGCAAATGGTACACGCGTACGCGAACTAGATAGCGAGAAAAAGCGAGGATAGGGAAATGATGTATTATACAATATATCAATATTACCGGGTTCAAAATGACATAATGTAGATTACGATGTTACTTGAAAAGTTGGATAATGGAGCTTCATTGTACTTGGTAATAGTAGTTATGGGAACGATACTTAAGTAAGCCCATTCTGGAAATCGCATCTATTATTCGCTCTGACGACAGTACTTTTAACTTTCATCGGCCTGTCGTAACTATGAAACACAGAACACGTTGCTAAATATACGTTGAAGTTATTAATTTTCAATAGCAGCTAATTCCGTAATGTGGATATTCATAAATGCAATTAATCGGAAGAATGCGAGATAATGGAGAAAAAATTGGAAATGAAAAAGGGTTTACGTAATTCGGTTAGTGCGAGACAAGCTGTTAAATTGGAAAAAGATCAGCAGGAGCAGAATCGGTAATTGAAACGTGAAACTGTGCGATGAAAACGAGAAGCGCAGGAAAAGAAAAACGAAGGAACTTTCCTCGTATTACCGAAGCGACGATAGAAAACCGGAAGTATAATGCAGGATCCCGAGTGCAGGAAGGAGTCGACGGCGGCTATAATTCACGCATGGTAGAGTCGTCGCGATTTTTTTCACTTTCACAAAAGCTGGAACGTTCCGTCCGCTATCTAACAAGAACGGCCGTTTACACACTTTCATGTTCGGTTATGTGTTCCGAAGTAATTGCCAGTTCCCATCTAGCATAACTTTTTACATAACCGACAAAAAAGGCGAGCCGATGCCGCTGTTAAATCATGGGAACATGCAGCCTGTTATTGACTCGTGTCGAAGCTCAAGCGTTAATTAAACGCTTTACTTTGCTTTCGTTCCTTTAATTATTTCTAATGCCACCGTTCGCCTGATCCTTATTTTCAACAACATGAGTGATTAGAAAACTTATTGGATTGAAAGGAAACTCAGCGATGTTTCTAGACATCCGTATTGAAATCAGAAGAATCTATTCGTGTAGCAGCAGTGGAGAAAGTAATGCTTTCTTGAGAATACTCGCGCATACACACGAGCCACTTTAATTGCACCGTGAAACGATTAAGATTCGCTGGCGATCGAAAGTGCGCCCGGAAGTGTCCATCAATATTTATTTTTTTCATTCTCTCCGTCGGCTGTTTTATATATTGGATTTGAAGATTTCTTAGACGCGTGTTTGCTTCAGTGTTATGTATATTGCGAATTGACTAATGCAATATAATTCGTTGAAACGTCACAAAAATTTATCATTTTATTTAGAGATGATGTTACATAATTTAAAATTAGTTATAAGACGCATTTGGTAGATTTTTTGTACGTAGCAAATGAATGCGGAAACGTGTGAATCCTTCGTCAAGTGAAAGAAGCATCTGCGTAACAACAATGCGTTTTCTTCATATTTTGCACTGTGCTCGAGTGCTCTGGGCGGTAGGGCGAAAAAAGGAAATTTTGCAAAAGTGAAACTCGGAGATTTCCGGCAGATCCGAGAAAGCGTTGTTGGCGTGCTCACGCGGAATTTTTACTGCTTTTTCCTGGGAAGCGAGACCGTTCTAGAGTTGTGAAAATGAAAACCATCTTCAGTAATCTCTCTATAGGATCGAGAATGCTACGATAAGAATTCTTTCTTCATGCATAAATGAAATATTAATTTCATTTATTGGACATGCAATTTCAAGAAATGTTATTTAACGAGAAGATAATAAACATAATTATTTTAATCGAGTGACATTTTCATTGAAATTATGAGACAGGAAATGAGTAATCGTTTTTATATGACAGAGCATTTATTAAAAATCTTTGATACAAAAGTAGACAAACACTCTATTTCTTAAACTTAAATTAGGTACAGCTTTCGGCGAAATCATGATTTCGCCTTACCACGTTTTACTTGACATCGGCTAACTTACGCTTGCATAGTAAAGCTCGAACGCCGATGTTAGCGGTTTCTTTGGAACAGCTTCAAGAAAGAAATTATATTACTTGTTCGCATTCCCGGGAAGTAGTAAAGAATTTAATGGACGCATCAAGATCAGCGGTACAACGTGAAAGAATCTACTTTCTCATTCGAATGCAACGGTGCATAGAAGATACATAAATCGCGAGCGTATCAAAATAAGAAAGGGAAACGCTGTCACCAAGAAATACTAGTACTCATCGACCGTTTACAAAAGTATCGAAGGAGACCTTACGCTTTAGAGAAGCACTAACCACAAAAAACTTCTCGTATCATCGGATCACGATAATATCTGTGATCAATAAGATAACGAAACTCCATCAAAGTTACAAAATGTATATAATTTCATGGATGGCCCTTGGGTCTCGCGAATAGAGAGGCGATCGCCCAGAGATCCAGCAGCACGTATATCAAGAATCTAAAGGTATTCAAGAAATCCTGTTCTGTCAATGATGAGAATACTCTTCGCCGCCGCCTCCGTATCCTTCGTAGCCGCCGCCACCTCCGTAGCCGCCACCACCTCCGTAGCTGCCACCTCCTCCGTAGCTGCCACCCCCATAACTGCCGCCACCCCCGTGACTTTCGTGTATGTGCACCGGAACAGGCACCTTCACCGGTACCGGGACTTCCTTTTCTACCGGCACCGGCACCTCCTTCTCCACAATGTACGGTTTGTCTACGGGTACCTTGACTGGTACCGGGTACGGCTTGGGTACCGAAACCGGTACCGCCTTGTGAACGTGATAAGGCTGAGGGACAGGAACCTTGACATGTACCGGATACGGTTTTTCTACTGGCACGGGGTAGGGCTTGTCCACGGGTACCTTGACTTCGTACGGTACCAGCTTGTCCACTTGTACCGGATACGGCTTCTCCACGGTCACTGGATAGGGTTTTGGTACGTGGACATGGTACGGTTTGTCCACAGGTACCTTCACCTCGTAAGGTACCTTCTTCTCCACGGTATACGGTTGAGGCAGAGGTACTTTGACTTTGACTGGGTACGGCACGTGCTTCTCGACGGTGTACGGTTGCGGTACGGAGACCTTCACCGGGACCGGGACGTGCTTCTCAACGGTGTACGGTTGAGGCACTAACACCTTTACCTCGTAGGGCTTGTCGACGGGGACCTTGACCTCGTAAGGCACCTTCTTCTCAACGGTGTATGGTTGGGGCACGTGAACCGGCACCTTCACGAACACCTTTACCGGATAAGGGACGTGCTTCTCGACGGTGTACGGTTGTGGGACGTTGACTTTCACTTCGTAAGGGACGTGCTTTTCCACTAGGTAAGGCACGTGCTTGGTTACTTCGTAAGGGACGGGAACCTTCTTCACTACGGTTACCGCTTTCACGTGCTCGTGCTCGTGGTGCTGTTCGCCACCATAATCGCCACCGCCTCCTAGATCTCCGTAACTACCGTGCAGCCCACGTTTCTCTGTTTTCTTGTCCGCTGAATCCGAGTCCTTTGACGCGGTCTCGCTAGGTTTGCTAGCATCCTCGCAGCTTGCCGTGGCCAGTGCCACCAGAACGATGGCGAACTGAAGTGAAAGTCATGATCGATGAACATTTACATGATTGGAAGATAGGAATAGAATAAATCGTCAACAGCGCATCTCAAATTTCTGGATAAATAAATTATATCGACGTACGTATGAAGTTCGATGTAAAGAAACGCGATATCATACTTCGTACATGAAAGATTTTCCGTACCTATAAAACCAAGTTGAATTTGACGCGGTATGAGGATCTTACCTTAATATTCATCGTTGAGTTCGCGCGTTTTGAGGTGGCGTGTAACCACTAACTGAACCGCTTGCTTTTCTAGACCGAGCCTTATATACCGCGCGGGCATAATAGCTCACGGTTACTTTCGCTAGGCCCCATAGTATACGTATGTATTATACTTGTGCGTCTCGTTTTGCATTTGCAAAAACGCGCGGCATAGCTCTGTATGGGAAATTGTGCGTCTCGCGCATCTAATCGTGATCATCTAACATTTTGATTCGTTATCACATTGATTGCTTCATTATCAATAATTGTCGATCTATAACGAGGTCGTATTATTATTGCCATTATTCTTTTTATTTATTATTCTTCTATGCACTGCGTCAGTTATGCGTTGATAAAATTAATCGAAGTACGATTTGATTTGTTAAATAACTGACGCATTTCTTAATTTTGAGAGATTTCTTAAATTTGATGGAATTGGTTTCCTTCAGAACACAGGCTCATTAGGCGCGTGTAATTGCCACAGAAATCCGTGCAAAGCCTGGTTTGCATGCGGAATACTTAATGCCGTTACCTATGTTAATACGGTCGCATGCGCGGCCACCATTTCGATCCTACAATGCGATATACCGCAATTTTTAACGATTAATACGCTGCGCAGGCATCCAGCTAAATCGCATCACCGTGAATTCTAGTTACAAGGCCTCCCGTCCCCCATTCGCGTGATTTTCAAAACGGGAGACTTCGTTCTGGGACTTCCCTGAAATTAAATCCATCGACGTTTCCACGATCTATCCGTTGAATTCCAGGCGAGAGATCCCCGTCAAGATGTTATCGATGATTCATAATAGAATTATAGTGTTACTCGTTGGTGTACGTATAGTTTGCGTGTTAATTACCAGAAACCATGTAACGAGAAAGTTTTCCTTCTTCTCTCGTCGAGTAACGCGTCGGTTCGGTTGCCACTGATCTGTTTTATTATTTCTCCTCAATTTAGAATTCAACACTTGTCTTCAGTTCTTCACTTATCGTTGCAGGTATAATGATAAATAATAATGATAGACAGGTACCGTCATGCCGCGTTATCTTTATGTGGTAAATCCTTGAATGTATTGAACCAACGAAAAGGAGTACGAAGGAAAAAATACTGAAACAATGCGTGACTGATCATGATTGCTCGTTACGCCATAAATTAGCGTGCAACGACGTTATACGTATTTGGCATTGTACTTTGATAATAATTGCCAGCTTATTCAGTCTACCTTAACTTTATGCTTAAGCTTATAGAGAAATATTTTCCTTAATAAAAACTTAATGCACACGGATGCTTAATTATAGTCTGCTTAGTGTGGCTTATTGACTATTAATTGGTACGCGAGTACTCGGAACGCTAATTATTTCACACTCCACAAAGCATCTGTCCATGCATAATATTCACTTGATGTGAGCGAATATCAAATAATAAAATTAAGAGTTCAAGTGTTATATTTATGATAAATTCATGATTCGTGACATCGTTTATGATACAGTGAGAAAAACGAACATTTCGATAATTGGGTTAATTGATTGACGAGAGTGCACTCAGTTGCATCGTCATCGTCTCCGTAATAATGACAAAAGTATAGGTAATTTCTTCGAAATTACTACAAATTTGATGCAACAAGTAAAAACAAATTCTGTACTGCTCTACATAAGAATGCGCGTGTACCGAACCGTGAATCTGCACGATTACAGGAATAGAAAAGGATTTACCCTTAAGAAAGGAGTATCCTCCGGCGGTTACGTAGGTGCCAAGGTAATTGCGTCCTTTTTATTCTTTCTGCGTGTCTAATTACATATCCCGGGGATTTTGTGAACATGCGCTTTCACGAATTGTGTAACAGGATTCAACATGTGATGTGATTTCCATTTGTGTGAATAATATAGAGAAGATTGTGCATCGTTGAATGTGACTTGGCAATAGGAAAATAAGAATGAAAATATACATACATGTCATTTTTATCTACACGACATCTTAAATATAGACATACATTAGGATTGTATTAATATTTGAAAATTAGTGTCAGACAAAATTATCATAGGTTCTTTACGTTTTAACTTCGCTGACTGTCGTCTGATGGTTGCGAATGGTAATGAAGTTACTAATAGTACAGGAAACGAACGACTCCCTGAAACTCCGTTGGAGTTTCCACGCCAGATGTTCAGGAATCGTTCCCACCGCGAGTGAAAGGATTCCGACGGTAAACTTTCCTCAAAATTGAACCCTGCTGTCTGATCCTAATATCTCGCCGACACGAACTTCGCGAATTTGGAAATGTAAACTGGCCTGTTGGCGTTAAAATCGCGTTAGCGCAGTTTAACGTTAACCAACGATGATAAATGGAAGCTGGAACTGGGTCATCGTTGACCCACGTTGACCCTTCGCAATTCAGATATTGTTCCAATTTGTGTAACAGTATTAAATTACAGCTTCTTCGTTTAATTTTTATATTCGACCAATTTATCAGACTGTTAGTAAGATAATTGTAATTTCATATCACCGATTGTTAAACTCTTATGCAATTAACTACGATTGTTCCTTGTTCATACGGAAACTGGAAATTTGAGCAGATCTTAGAGCCGATAGGTGTTTTTATTTCTCTCTTTGTAGAACGTTAAGTGCGCGTTATTACTATTGTGCAAAAAACTAGGCTTAGGTTTACATTGTATCGGTGATTGTACTGCCCCTTCTCTTCTGGTTTCCCTATCCATTTCATTTCCTGGATCACGTAAAGGCATTAATATAAGGATAACATAGATAGGATAGAATTAACGCGTGGCGTATTATGATAACGCGTTGTCGTATTCAATTACAATTCAGACAGTTTTGAAACGTTAGCGTATGAGTACCTCGCAGAAGCAAAATGTATACAATTTCTGTAGTGGACGGACTAATTTCTATAAATTTGTACAACGTGACAACGCGAGAAAGGGAGACGTTCTCTTGGAAAAATGAATCGTTTCCGTGGCGCACCTGCTTCGAGATCAGAACTAATGCATTACTGATGGCTGATGCCACCCTGAACCCTGAGGGCCTCCTCTGCGAAACGCGTTATTACGTAACTCTAATTGCGTTCTAACTACCGTGCAATGAGACGGGAACTACTTCGCCAGTCTCTCATTAAGACGTTTGCAGTTGACGTACGGAGGCGCGATTAACCAAAATTCATCGCATTAACTTGAGAACTGTTGGCGATCATGCAATTCGTCACTTTTAACACTTCTCATGCAGGGACATAATTTTAATTGGCAAATGTTTTTACTTTGCGTTTTAATCATCAACGATTCTTGTGAGGAAATAAAAATCAGATGATAGGAGGAGATACGCGAAGAGAATAAGACGAGTTTACTCTACTTGAACGATTTATGGTTGGATGAAGATACGAATGCAAACCGTTGCATTTTCTGACAACCCGTCGACATCAGATTTCACTCGCACGCATAACGCATCGTACACATGCTTCAATAATTTTTTCCCCCCCACCTAAACTCTGAGCAGCGGATGAAAGTAAAGCTCGCTTCGAATCGCGATCATCTCGCATCATGCATTTATTTGCTATCACGTTTACGGATATCGTTTATTTCGCTGTTAACTTACTGCATAAATCTAATATCTCACACCTTTTCTACACGTTCAACCAAGAAGTCTGCATAAGCAAGTTTTCACAGTTTAATTCATTCGTTTATTCATACACTTCATGTAGACTTTTTTTACAGACTGTATCCACGTGTAAAGTTGATGTACGGAACGATTAAATGGAATTTAAAATCGATTTATGTAAGTTTCAATTAATTGGGGATTAATGCGTTGCTTTCAAAAGTGTTCAACTTCTCATAAGCCTCCGAATCGAATAGAGCACTTATAGGAAATGAAAGATTAATGAGTTTCCGGAAGCAGCGGTATTTCCAAGAGAAATGAAGCGAGCTATTAATGAGATTAAGAGGAGACACAGTTACATATTGAGATTAAAATTAAATCATGGAATTTCTTTAATGCAATTTCAACTTTCACTCGATATTATCTTGGCCGAAGGAAATTCCCGAGAAAGGGAAACTTCATCGCAGTTTATAAAATCTTTGTTATCAATCGGAAATATTACGTCTCTATGGACATCTTAGTCTTCCGATATGTTCGAATCAAGGACGTGGACACACGCGACGAGTTTTGGCAATGTCGGTGCATGGATGCATCGGCGGGTCAGAAGACAAGACAAGAGAATGGGTACAAGCTGGGAGAATCGAGGCAAGAGGATATCCGTCGTGTCTCGAGGAGAATAGGTCCGCAGACATCGTTCGACGCCGTGTTCTTCGTAATTGGCTATCGGATCGGACGTGGCGATCGTCTACACGTGGCTCACAAGTACGTACCGCTTGTATAGGAACGCAGCTGGGAGCAGAGGCGGCGAACATAATCGCGACACGTTGTCACGTATGCGTAATACGCTCCAAATTACATGTGCCGATAATCGTCGCTTCAACAAATAACTGCCCGTGTGTTCTTCGCTCACCGATATCCGAAATCGTTCCTCGAAATTAGACCAACGATGTGGCGTCTGATATCAGCAGGACTTATCATTAAATTATAGTGTACATCCCTGCCGGTTCAGTACAATTAAAACATTGACCTATGTACGTAAAACTTGAAGAAACTATGATAATATCAATGAGCAACGAATCAATTTAAATAACTTCTATTTTTAATATCACGAAAGAATAATGAAGACGGGAAAGGTAAAATCTGGAGACGAAATAAAAAGCAGGGAATTGGAAGGAGCTTAAAATCCTGACACGGATTCCAGTCACGTACCAAGTGCATTGTTAGAACAATTAGCCGAGGAGAGCACGAGTTAATAGTAGCCTGGGTTCGAATTGAAATTGCAAGTCGACGGATTTTCGCAAATTAACAGCGTCTAGCCCTAGCCCTAGAGTCCGGAGATACCGATCGAAAATTGCCATATTCGCTCGATGAGTTCCTGCCCATAGAACATTCCGTGAGGGAACCTGTAATTTTCGACTTTA